CCAGGCGGCTGGAAATGCATCAAGCTGGGCTGGAGGAAGCGTCCAGATCTTCCTATGTCACTTGCTTGGACCTGGTCTGATTTGGCCTCGTCTCAAGCAAGACTTGTCCTGAGGGAGACCCCATGCCAGCCTCAGGCGCATTCTGCTTCTAGCTTGGACTTTGCTCTCGGGGATGGGCAGGGAGAAGCTGGGAAGACAGCCTTGGGGGGGAGGGGTTGCCAGGGACCCTCCCCCACCAGCCATCTGGCTTGGCCACCCAAGCAGGGCCTGGGGACCCTGGGATTCCCTGAGACACATCACTGGCCACGGGCCACCGTGTTTCCTCACGCTTTGGGCTGCTGGATCTCGAGGCGTGCAGCTCCCGGCTGGGTGGTGCTGGCCACCCGCCACGCCGCAAGAGGCTGAGATTCCCCTGAAACCCAGAGCTGCTTTTATCTCTCACTGGCGACAGAGAAACAAACCAGGATGCTCTGCCCAAGAGGCATTTCCAGAAAATTTAGGCTCTGACTTCTTGTTGATCAAATGCCAGAAAGTCCTGGGCTTCTTTGTGGTGAGGCAGTCATTGAGCAATAGGTGTTTTGTTTTGCAGATGACAAGATTTTCCGACATTGAGAAGTTTAAATGATAAATGAGAGGACCTTGACCAGTTCCCTACCCCTACCAGGGAGGTTGCTGATTTGAGCTTCTGTGCTTGGCAAATTTGTTGTTTATAACCTCTGGCTCTCCGGGGCCACCCCCAGCCCCAATAGGCTCAGGCCCCTGGTCCCAGGGGACCTTATCTCTTCCAGTTCCAGGGCCATGCAGGCCTTCTAGGACCCAGGTACATGGGGACAGCATGGGGAAAGCTGTTTTCTGACATAGGTGTTGGCACACTTACCTTGGACGTAGGGTTGTGTAACAGAGTGGGCGCCCCTCCTCCCACACATACGGAAGGGAAATACTGACGGTGAAGAATAGGTAACAGAGGGAATGGCCTGAAAAAGCAGCAAAAATATTTTCTATCTCTTTAAAAACATCCTCCACTCCTTTTAGAGAGCTAAAACCTGCATCCCTGCCTCCGGGCACTGGTTGGGAGGGGCAGGGTAAGTCTTTTTTTCTTTGTGCTACAGGAGAGGCTCAGGGACCTGGCACCTGAGGTCCTGGGTGGAGGTCCTGAGGTTGCTTCCGTGGAGATGGGAGATCAGAATCATCAACTGTAGTTGAACGGCAACTGCCTGAAGCTGAGAACCCACCCTTTAAAAGGTCTGCATTTCTGCTTAGTATTAGGACTATAGCATTTTTCACACAAAAGTCTCCATCCTCCTCCTTTGCTGTAAAAGTAATACACTTCTCTTTCTTTCTCCTCAAACTGCTTATTCTTGTTCTTCTGATGGGGACAAGTGCCAAACTCTCAGTAACAGCTGGCATGGGGCGTCAGAATATTTTTCTTTCTTTCTTTCTTTTTTTTTTTTTTTGAGACAGAGTCTCACTCTGTTGCCCGGGCTACAGTGCCGTGGCGTCAGCCTAGCTCACAGCAACCTCAAACTCCTGGGCTCAAGAGATCCTCCTGCCTCAGCCTCCCGACTAGCTGGGACTACAGGCATGCGCCACCATGCCCGGCTCATTTTTTCTATATATTTTTAGTTTGGCCGGCTAATTTCTTTCTATTTTTTTTTAGTAGAGATAGGGTCTCACTCTTGCTCAGGCTGCTGTCCAACTCCTGACCTTCAGCGATCCTCCCATCTAGACCTCCCAGAGTGCTAGGATTACAGGCGTGAGCTACCGTGCCCAGCCCACATTCCCTTTTTAACACAAGCCCTCGAGCCTCAGAAACAGCCTACCCCCCCCATGTCACACACTAGGGAGGGTTTCTCATCCCTGGGCTGGCGGGTTTCTGCCTCCCTTTTAACTCTGCTCACAGCCCTGTGCTGGGGAGAGACCCTCTCTCACAGAACAATCTCGAGGAGGAGGGGCCTTCCTCTTGCATTGAGGTGATTGTCCGTTCAGAGTGAATCACAGACAGTGAGGCACGGGTCCTTGGCTCAGGATTTCCTGGTGCTTCCTGCCTGGGAGAACAGCCCCGCACTCAGGGGCAGTGGCCCACCACTCCCTGACGTCAACTCTCCTTCCAATGAATGCGTTTCCTTTTCCGCTTGGGAAGACATGGGATCCGCCATCAGCCCCATCAACCCCGTCTCTCTAACCCTGGCACCTCCTGTCTGGGAAGGACTGAGTGGGACTAACGAGAAGCAGTGGGGGAGGGCAGGAGGGTGAGGGGGACTCAGAGGACAGATGCTTTCTCACTATCAAGGAGTGAATTGAGAAACCCCATCAGCAGTAGTGTCTGTCTCAGGTTTTGAGCTCTCCATCGAGCTCTGGGGCACACAGAATGCTCTCAGACAGGCTCCCTGGCTCCCTGTGTTCTCTGGGAGGGTCTTATCTCCTCTACTTGTTCTCAGTAACTAGCCCAGATGAGACCTCCTGGCAGAAACAGTGCATGTGCTGTCATCATGTAAGTGTAACTATTTAAAAATTGCTTAATCTCTGAAAACCATTATTTAAAATTTTTGCGACCTCCAAATGTTCATGTTCTGAGGCAAAGTTGTGGTTGCCTCACTTTGGTTATAGCTCTGTCTGCTTCAAACTAGCCATGAAAGCCAGAGGCTCTCGGTGTGTGGTTTCAGAAGACACTGGGTCATTCCCTGCTGTTTATCCTTAATGTATTTTAATGTATTAACTTGCTATGCTATCAATATTGCCATCTTTTTTTCAGTGTGGAAATTCCCAGGAAGATGGTACTATGGTTGTTTGTCTCCCTTAATTTCTCACACAGCAAAGTACCATAGGCAAAATGATGCTGAGAGCTCTTTTTATTTATTTATTTATTTATTTTTATCTTTATTTTTTTTTGAGACAGAGTCTCGCTTTGTTGCCCAGGCTAGAGTGAGTGCCGTGGCGTCAGCCTAGCTCACAGCAACCTCAAACTCCTGGGCTCAAGCGATCCTCCTGCCTCAGCCTCCCGAGTAGCTGGGACTACAGGCATGCGCCACCATGCCCGGCTAATTTTTTCTATATATACTAGTTAGCCAATTAATTTCTTTCTATTTTATAGTAGTGACGGGGTCTCGCTCTTGCTCAGGCTGGTTTCAAATTCCTGACCTCGAGCAATCCGCCCGCCTCAGCCTCCCAGAGTGCTAGGATTACAGGGGTGAGCCACTGTGCCCGGCCTCTTTTTATTTTTTTATCCCCCCCCCCCAGAACTCTTTTTAGGATGACTGGAATGCTCCTGTGGTCCACGTAGCACTCACCACTCAGCATGCTGGTGGAGCCATTCGGCCAGTGTTTACTCTGCAATGACCATGTGCCAGGCACTATGCAAAAGCAGAACTATGCAACGGATGGTCTCATTCTAGTTACTGGAAGTTAGGACATTTGATGATTCACCATTTCTAACTTGGAAGAGTTGAATCAAATTCCACCTAGTATTTGTAAAGCTATCTTAAACTTAAAAGTTGAAAATCAATCTGAAATACTCATTGATTGTAAACAATTTGGAAACTCCTGAATAGCACCTAATAACCCACATTTTGGTGTATTTGCTTTCAGTCTGTTTGTAAGCATGCTCACGTTCTCTCCCTACCCCTACCCCTTCTAATTTTTTAACAAAATGAGATCGTCTGTATACTACTCTTTGGTAATTTGGTTTTTACATTTAATGTCATTAAATATTCTTCTAGAACATTGTTTTTTAATGAATGTATGGTCTTCCAACGTACTGATGTACCATTATTTACTTAACTAACTCCCCCGCTGCAGATTGCTTCCACGCTTTTGACATCATGAACAATGCAGAGATGAACATTCCTGTGGGAATGTGTAATTAGTTACTTTGGGATAATTCCATGGGAGAATTCGGAATGCAGTTTTCAGGTGTCCATATCATTTGAACCTCACGACACCCCCTGTAATATGTAGGATATGATTGTGTCCTGCAGTTTTCCCAGTTTCTAGGTCCCAGGCCATGTGGGCCAGCCAGGGAGCCGCATCTTACAGATCAGAACTCATCTCTCCTGCCTTTCATGATACTGCATGGTTTTCCTTTTTAAAATTAGCTGCAAAAAGTGTGCTTGGCATATAGGGATGTGCTCCTTCACTTTCGGGGCATAGAACTGTGCATTTCCGGGGCCCAGTGACACCTGCGTCTTTGGGCACATAAGGAGGGTGGAGGACTTTTCATTCATCTCATATAGGTTCTCATATAGGTTTGTAGGGGCTGCTCTGTGCCATGCAGCTGCAGGTGCTGGGAATGACAAGGTGGAAATTTGTTCCCCCCTCAGTCTGGTGGGGATTTTCCATGGTTCTGCGCACCTTGGTGCGTGAGTGTTAATCAAGTTACAAGTCACAGGGGTCCTCAAACTTTTTAAACAGGGGGCCAGTTCACTGTCCCTCAAACTGTTGGAGGGCTGGACTATAGTTTTAAAAAAACTATGAACAAATTCCTATGCACACTGCACATATCTTATTTTGAAGTAAAAAAACAAACGGGCAAAAACACCCCAGGGCTGTAGTTTGAGGACGCCTGTTACAAGACTTTGTCCAGGTCTAACTAACACCTTAGGGGGGTCGTACACGTCTAACACTCTACCAAGTCCAGCTTGAAATAGATAATGGTCCTGAAAAGAAATCCCACCACTGCGAGGTCAATTTTGACAGCTGGTGGGGGTGGGGTCGTGGCGTGAGCACAAGGCATCCTTTCCTCCGGGACCTGTGATGATGGAGTGCAGGTGTGCGGGCAACCTCGTACACCTGTGCACACCTCCCTGCGCGTTTAACCGGCGGGCTCTCGGCTACCCTCCCGCGGAGAGACCACTGCGTGGTCTGTGGTCTGTAGGGGGTGGAAACTGAGGCTGGTGGGGAGCCGTGCAGGACCGCCCTCCCCGGGCCGGGGCTCCCGCGCCTGCGCGCTGCCGGCGTGTTCGCGCTCTCTGTTGTCAATAAAGTTCTAGCGCGCCAGAAGCGGAAGCGGAAGCCGCGAGTCTCCATGGCGGCAGCTGCGGCGGCGGCGGCGGCGCCGGTGTTCTGGAGGCGACTGCTGGGCCTCCTGCCTGGCCGCCCGGGGCTGGCCGCGCTCCTGGGGCGCTTGTCCGACCGCCTCGGCAGGAACCACGACCGCCGGCGCAGGAGGTGAGAGAGGCGGCCGGCCTGAGAGCCTGGACCCGGCGTCCCCGGCCCGGCCCCCGGCATCCACAGCGAGCCCCTCCCAGTGTCCCCAGGCCCACTTCTGTCGCCCAGGGCTCAGCGCCTGGCTTCCCTGCGTCTCCCCTGGCCTTGAGGAAGGGTGGGCGGGCGACCCGTGCGCCACTGTCAGCCGGGTCCAGCCCAGTGGGCCTCCAGCGCAGCCCGGCCAGTCCTTGTTCCCCGTCTCCACCGTGCTTGGTGGAGTCCCGGCCTCTGTCCACCTACACTTTGGAGGAGGAACTGTGTGTACGCTCACGGAGCTTCGTTCAAGCTCTGGAGGCTAAAGTTAAATCTTGGTTGGGCCCTAGGATGTGAATGTTGGAGAGTCTTGTCGCGAGAGACACTGTTTGGGTTCGGAGGGGTCTTTCCCTTAAGTAATCCTGGCTGTGAGGTGACTTGGCGGGAGTGAATCAGCCCTGCTGGGATTTTGTGTGTGCAGCGTTTCTCACATCCTGCCAGAGAGAGCTGTGAAGCAATCCTCGGTCAGTAACACTCAGGCGTGGGAAGAGGAACCACTTGAAACCCTTTTTACACTTTTTAAAGTGCCTGTGTTCTGGAAAAGTACTGAAGTGAGTTATGTAAATGGTGAAAGTAGGCTTTGGAGCAATTTGTTCAGGCAGTGGTCTTCAAAAGTCAACATTGGCCAAGAACATGCTGACCCAAGAGGCCTGCTACTATTGGTAATATTAAAGAAAAGAGGAAAAAATAATTTTGTGCAAATAGTTTTATTATTAGAGAGATTTGAGCCTCACACTTGATTCTTAAACAAACAAGCAAAAAACCTTAGAACTGTCTCCTTTAGTTGTGCTTGCATTGTCTTAGATTTTGTGTCTGTGCTCCTTGGGTGAGATTTGACCTCCTTGCCTTAGTACGGAGATCTGGAATCCAGCCATGTGTGCTGATTATAGGTACAGAGAGCTTACTTCATATTGAGCTGTTGGTGGAAGCTTTTCAGCAATAACTTAAGTTGGATTAAGGGGAACTTTTAGGTGATAGATTCAGGGCAGTATGAAACTCTTGGCACTTTCGGAGGCCGAGGCGGGCAGATTGCTCGAGGTCAGGAGTTCGAAACCAGCCTGAGCAAAGAGCGAGACCCCTGTCTCTACTATAAATAGAAAGAAATTAATTGGTCAATTAATATATATAGAAAAAATTAGCCGGGCATGGTGACGCATGCCTGTAGACCCAGCTACTTGGAAGGCTGAGGCAGAAGGATCACTTGAGCCCAGGAGTTTGAGGTTGCTGTGAGCTAGGCTGACGCCATGGCACTCATTCTAGCTGGGCAACAAAGTGAGATTCTGTCTCAAAAAAAGAAAGAAAGAAAGAAACTCTTGGAAGCCCACTGATGAGAATGGCTCTGAGTTGCACATTGGTGAACCTGGTGGGAGTGGGGGTGTAGAACAGGTGGCCTCTCTATTTTCTGTATTTCATTTTCATTTTTTTGGTACTTAGTAAAAGACCTGTTTGTTTCAATAGATAGTGAAGTCAGATGACTTCTACATCTGGGCATCAAACCACTGAGATTTGGTTTAAAGTTTCAAAAAACGTTCTATCCTCAAAGACAGGATGTTTAGCTGACTTTGTCATTTCCCTCTATGTGTTTAAATTATATGAAAAACATTTCATTATTAATCATTGTTTAACATTAGAATTGGTTACTAAAGAGTGTTGGGGCAATCTCCACAAATTCTTTTGAAAAAGGCATTTCACATGACTCTGCCTTTTTAAAATTTTATAAAAAAATTTCAGGATGTTATGGGGGTACAAACGTTTTGGTTACAAGTAATGACTTTGCCTCGCCCAAGCCAGGGCTTGAGGCGTGCCCTTCCCCCATACTCTGTGCACTTGCATCCATTAGTTGTGAGTTTACTCACCCCCACCTGACTGACACCCAATGGATATTACTACCACGTGAGCACCTTAGGGTTGATCAGTTAGTACCAATTTGATGGTGAGTACATGTGGTGCTTATTTTTCCATTCTTGTGATACCTCACTTTGAAGGATGGGCTCAAGCTTATCCAGGATAATATAAGAGGTGCTAGATCACCATTGTTTTTTGTAATTCAGTAGTATTCCATAGTATATACGTACACCATATTTTACTAATCCATTCATGGATTGAAGAGCACTTGGGTTGTTTCCACATCTTTGCAATTGTGAATTGTGCTGCCATACATATTCGAGTACAGATGCCTATGATTGCCTTTTTTATTGATGGTGGGAGGAGCAGTGGGGATAGTCTAAATTAACTTCCCAAAGTGTTTTTTTTGTAAATAATATCAGTGGATGTAGTTTGTGTGGCTCCATATTTCTTCTTCATTTAGCTGAGAGGGATAGTTGTTTCTCTGGGTCAACAATTCAACCAGAAGCTCAGTTTCTTGGGCATTAAAGTCAAAAGTTCTTTTTTAAAAAAATTATTTATTTTTTTTAGGCTGGTCAAGTGAAACAGTGGGAGTGGAGAAAGAACAAAGGAATATGTAACTCATTGTGATCAATTAGTTGTAAACACTACTGCACTTGGACCAGCCCAGAAGTTCTTGTTTTATAAATCTTGGAAGTAATGCTTATGCTAGGACTGAGGATAAATGCTTTGACTAGTATTGAGTGATACTAGTATTGAGTATTGAGTGATAAGTTTTTGACCCTTTCTTTGCCTTATTCAGTTTGCAGATCTTTTTCTGAATCTTTGTAGCCTTAGTGATCGGAGTTATTCATGTCTGTTGTGGCTACTCACCCTTTATTGACTGCTGACTTTCGTTTCTTCTCCTTTGTTCAGTTGCACCTCCCAATTCCTCATTCCCCGAATGATGTGGTTTCTTGTAACTCACTAATCATTGATTCATTGCTAGTAGTCTGTGTAGTCATGTGTTTAAATTATTTTAGATTTTAGGTTGTTAGTCTGACTCAGTTGTTGGAGGGGCTGCTAAATCTTCATGGCTAGCAAAAGGAACATTTCTTTTACTGGTGTTTTCTTTCAGGCATAGAGACGGCCATAAAGACAGAACTCTACTTAAAATTACTGCTAATTAATGATTTAGAAGTACTGTTGTTTCCTCTTAAGCAAGCATCTGACTCATTATCATTAGGGATGCTGGATCCATTCATTTATTCATGTGTGTATAGAGCACTGCTGTGCTGTGGTAGGTACTGAGGAAGCAAAGATAAAGACAGGCCCACCTCTAAGATACTCTGACCCATAAACAGACAATTACAGGAAAGTAGGTAGAAGGTCATGGCAGTACCTAGGAGAGGCACCTGGAGGTCATAGAAGGCTTCCTGATAGCAGTCACTCTGAGCTGTTTTGAAGGGTAAGAGTAGGCTGGGTGAAGAAGAGGGGGAGCAGATGTTCAAGGAATGAACATGAGTGAGTGATGGAAGGCAATTCTGAGGTCCCCCTGGTACTGAAACCATTTCTAGGAGCTGACTGGGGATACCAAGTAGGGGAGGAAGGAAGGGAGAGAGGAGCTAGGAGCATGTCAGTCTTTTGGGCCAGAGACCACCCAGGAAGGCAGGCTCTGAGAGTCCATATGAGATCAGGGCAGTGGGAGCAGAAAAGAGGGCTAGATTAGAATCAGTCCTGGTATGGCGCATGGAGGTTGGAACACTGCACTGAAACAGGGAGAAGGAAGAGGAGTAGGTTTGGGGATGATGATAAAGTGTACTTGGGCCTGTTAGTTAGTATCCAGGTCCCTCCAGGTGGAGGTGTTCAGTGTCCAGCTGACTGTGACAGGGCTGGAGCTCAGCAGAGGGGGACAGATGCTTCAGATAGAGATTTTTGGAGTCATGGGGCTACACAGAATGGGCTGGTTATTTGGAGTAGGTGAGACCTAGTGGGGAATGTATTAATAGTCCCTGATCTTGAATTTGCCTACCATGCAAGGAAATATTTTCTCTGTGGCCTACCTTTTTTTTTTTTTTTTTTTTTGAGACAGAGTCTCACTTTGTCGCCCAGGCTAGAGTGAGTGCCGTGGCGTCCGCCTGGCTCATAGCAACCTCAATCTCTGGGGCTCAGCGATCCTACTGCCTCAGCCTCCCGGTAGCTGGGACTACAGGCATGCGCCACCATGCCCGGCTAATTTTTGTATATATATTTTAGTTGTTCAATTAATTTATTTCTATTTTTGGTAGAGACGGGTCTCGCTCGAGCTGGTTTCGAACTCCTGACCTTGAGCAATCCGCCCGCCTCGGTCTCCCAAAGTGCTAGGATTACAGGCGTGAGCCACCACGCCCGGCCTGTGGCCTACCTTTTTTTTCCTTTTTAAGCTATTTTTAATTTGAGTTGTATGTGCCTAATGGTCTTTATCTTTCAAACTTAAGTCCCATTTTTTCTATTCTAGGTGCTTGAGTGGGTGTGTGTGTTGGAGGGGGAGGGATTCCTTACTTTCTTGTGTTATAAAAGAAACAGGTAACTAGCAGACTGTTCTTTCCATTAGATTTTCTTATATTGCAATGGCAGACCAGTTCAGCTTGTAAGTAGTTACTACTCTGAGGGACCACCCGATTTCTGGAAGTTACTTCGTCTTTGAACTTTATAATGTTGGGACCCAGTCTTCCTTACTCCTTAGAGTTCAGGACAGCCATCTCTTGGTTTATTTGTAACAGTATAATGTGCTGGGAGGTGGATATTAGAATCAAAGCATAATTTTTCTAGATAATTCACATTTGATCTTGCAGCGAATTGAAAGATTTACAACTGACTGACTTTCCCAACTGTAGCCTTATTAATATTAACAAGTGTCCCTAAGCGCATCGTAGCTGGTGATGAATTAGGCTCAGTCAGTTGTGTGCTGGTAGGCAGGTGGAAACCAACCTGGGAGTAAAATGTTCTCATAGGTAATCCTCTTGTAAATAGTGTTTTCTGATTAATGTAAACGAGTTGATTTCGAGGTGGTTAGGAGTCTGGCTGGCTGAAGCTGTTTGGAGTAGTAGAACATGGGATTGGTT